ATTACGGACTTAATTTGAATTTTGCTCCAGCATTTTGTTGATATTGCGATGATCTAATCCATTTGAGAATATCCGTCAATTTACATAACACTCGTAGGCCTAAAAGCAGACACTCGGCAAAATTTCGAATGAGTCAATTGGTTCTTTACCTCACTCGCTGCCGTTAACATCAATAATTAAGGGCCAAACCACTGCTTACTGTAGGCGCCCCTCACCTGAAATGAACTCGTGAAACCCGCGAAATAAATTGTGATCCATTTCGAATTTTCCTACTTTTTTTTTAAAATAAAGCACAGAAATTTAAAATTTGATGGGTAATGTTTATTATCATTTATTCTTTGAAGATTATTCTTTGAAGATTGACTTTCAAATGTTGGCCGCGTCTTTGTCTCCGATGGTCCATCCGTTGAGTCCAATTTTCGTTGACTCGTTGAAGCATTTCGACTGGTAATTGGCGAATTACAGGCGTCATGCTTTGCTCCATGGAATGCGTCGAAGTGGGATTGTCCGCATAGACTTTAGACTTTACAAACTCTCACCGAAAAATTCTAACGGTATGACACCAGACAATTTTGGTGGCCAATCGACCGACCCAAAACATGAAATTATCTGCTCACCGAAGTAGTCTCTCTACAAATCCACTGATTGATCTGATGTGTGGGAAGTGCGGCGTCTTATTGAAATAATAGTCGATCTCACGAGCTTCAATTTTAGGAATAAATAGTTGGTATTCTGACGCGATTACGGAATGGCAGCTCTTGAATCTCTTCCGGTTGCCCTTTGTTTGAAATGCGGAAGTTTTGCTTGCTTACATACCCACTGAGCCAGAAATGGGCCTCATCGCTGAACAAAATTCAGCCTCAAATCTTCATGGAACTTTTCAAATGACCATAGAGTGAAGAGATGTCGCTTGGTAGGGTCGACTGGCTGCAGTTCTTTAGTAATTGTACGCCTTAAGATTTTGACGTAAAATGTAAAGTAAGAAAGTGTCACTGTTACCATGATAATCGGATCTTAGTTATCGGAACGGTCTCGAACTCGTATACTTCTAACAACAGTAAGTCTCGTTTTCTCCACAAAATAATATTTATATTAGCTCTCATATCTGGGTTATACTGATTGGTCCCAACATGCAGGCATTACAGGCAAAAGATCATGGGGTGAAAGCTTTCACATAGCAAGCTTATTAAAAACTTCAATATTTGTCCAAAATAATTTAATATTTATTGTTCTTTAAAATTACTCACTGCTTTCGTACAAATACTTATATACTCACCCTTGTACATATGTAAGTCCGTATTCAGGCGCAGCAATTTAATTGTATAATGTTTATTTGATTTCTTGTCCAACCTACTTATTGCCAACAATCTGCTTGTAAAAGTGTAATTCCCAAGTCAATTTACGGTTTTTCGATTTTTATATAAAATTGCTTGTGACAATCAAAGTGACAAACAAGCAAATGTCGTACATATGTCTGAAGTGTTTAAGTATGCACTCGTAACTAATCCTATATACATACATACGAACATGTATATGTGTGTAGTAAAAGTCGTTTTTCCAAATGTTTGACTCTTGTACTCGATGAGTAAGTGCTGAGCTTTTGTGGCACAGCAATTTCAAATGATTCACGCGATCCAACAATCAAGCGAACGGGTGTAGCGCTGTCACAGTTGGCGACCGAACTCGAAAGGCGAGCACTTACAGTGGCAATTCGGAGATGTCTGCAATGTATGTATATCGTCATATACTGTATCCTCTTGCAGATATGTACATATGTAAGCTTGAAAGGTGTGGGGGGTGTGTCGGTTCCCAGTACCAACGACTCAACAGCTTGTCTACACATGTCTTTTTCGGTGTCAGCGGTTCAAGTTTGATTCAATGCTCCACTTGAATTCACCGCCTCGCCGACCACAAAACTGTTCGCTTTAAACTCAGCAATCGCGGTTAAGTAAATGAGAACGAAATTACAGTGGGAGTAAATATTTGATTAGATTCTTTGGAAAATCGTTAAGCACGTACTTGTGTCGGTAATCGCGTATACGCTCTTAGTATATGCATAGATACCAGCAAGAAATATTTACATATAAGATATGCGTATATGTAGGTATATATAATATTTTAATAGATGTTTATTACATAGTATTTCTTCGCATCAATAAGGGTATTGCACTTTATCGTATGAATAAGCTGAGCGTAAGTTAGCTGGTGTTAGTTTTGTTGCCGCCAACTATAAATTAAAGAACTGTTTTTTAAATAAATTTTTATTCAAAATTACTTTTACTCAGCTGCGAAGATCTCCTGGCCGATTTGTCTCACAGAGCTCAGTAATTATAAACAGTGTTCTCATGTGTTCATTTTACAAACAAGAAGTAGACGACCATTATGGCCTCTACCTATACACACCAGTTAAATTAAAATTTTCAATTTATATTTTTTTTTTATATATCAAACCTTAAAAACGACTGTAAGCTTAGAAAACGTGTATTTTTCCTATCTTTTATATTTAAGCTTAGCATTCAGCTGTCAAGTAATGTAAAAACTTCATATAAAAAATGCTTAAGAAATGGTTCCTGGTTCACACCAATTTAATACATTTTGGTATCTCTCTTCTTCAGCTATTTCTGCATCTGTAGGATTTGCTTAGGAGGTTAGTTTTCTGCGGTGCGAATAATATGGCCAGCCCACCGAAAACTGTTTAATTTAATTGTCGTTAAAATATCGGGTTGCTAGTTTCCGCCATAAGCCATCCAAAAAATGTTCGAAACCCTCTTCATTCAAAAACTTATAGTTTCTTCAGCTCTGACTAATGTACAGTTTTTATTGGCGCATATTAGGCAGAGGAGCAATCAGTGTGCGACAGATTGAAAATTTTACCGATCTGTCGAAGAAATACCAAACTCTTATGAGGCTACATAGAGAAGTAATCTACTTATACAATCGTATGCCACCTTCAAACCTATAAAGAAATTAAATGTGTTCATATTAATTTCTTGAGATTTCTCAATAATTTGTCTTACTATAAATATCGTATCGCCAAATTTGTCTTCCTTTTTGGACCATTGATGTAATATGCTTTTAAGTTCATACCATATGTGACGAGTTATGCATAAGTCTCAGATGGTCCATTAATTGACTTCAATGTTCGCGTGATGTTTTGCTCCAAGCTCTAAATCGAAGCGGGGTCATCTGCACAGATGTATATAACCCCAAGGGAAAAAGTCTAACAGTGTGATATCACACGATCTTGGTGGCCAATAGACCGGGTGACCGGTGAAATTATCTGCCCACCAAAGTATTCGCTCAATAAATCTCTTGACTAATGTGTTGTGTGGACGGTGGCGCCGTCTTGTTGAAACCAATTGTCACCGAGATTACGAACTTCAATTTCATCATTAAATAGTCGGTAATCAAGGCGGCATAATGGTCGCCATTGACGATTACTTGCTCTCCACCACCACCGGTTCACAAAATACACCAAACCGTTGTTTTTTCTGTATGAAATATCAGTTCTTGGATCTCTACGCGTTAATCTTCATCTCAAATGCGGAAATTCTGCTTATTTACATACCCATTGAGCCAGAAATGAGCCTCATCGATGGGAATGAACAAAATTTGGTTCGAAAACGCCGGATTTTCTTTGAACTTTTTAAGATCTCATAGAGAGGAGCGATGTCGTTTAGGAAGGCCGAGCGGCTCCAGTCCAGCCAAAAAAAGGCTATTGAATAAAGTACCACACCACACTTCTTGAACAGTTACGACGTCTGCTTTGTAATAGCCTACTGGTTTTGTTAATTATTGTTTAGTATAAGGTATTTAATATATAGCCTTATATATTTTTCTTTAAAACGTTTGCAAGGTCGTCGTTGTTGGGTGTGTTTTTTCCGACACTTAGTTACTGCTTCCGTGACAGAGTTTTTTGTTTTGTGGTCTGTCAGCCTTGTGTCAATTACTCTCTATTATGCTCATATGATTCTTTTGTTCCTTCCACTTTTTATACTCTCGCAACAAAGTTGCTAAAGAGAGTATTATAGTTTTGTTCACATAACTGTTGTTTGTAAGTCCTAAAACTAAAAGAGTCAGATATAGGGTTATATATACCAAAGTGATCAGGGTGACGAGTAGAGTTGAAATCCGGATGTCTCTCTTTCCGTACATCCGTCTGTCCGTCTGTCCGTCCGTCCGTGCAAGCTGTAACTTGAGTAAAAATTGAGATATCATGATGAAACTTGGTRCACGTATTTCTTGGCTCCATAAGAAGGTTARGTTCGAAGATGGCCAAAATCGGCCAACTGCCGCGCCCACAAAATGGCGGAAACCGAAAACCTATAAAGTGTCATAACGAAGCCATAAATAAAGATATTAAAGTGAAATTTGGCACAAAGGATCGCATTAGGAAGGGACATATTTGGATGTATTTTTTTTTTGGAAAATTGGGCGTGGCATCGCCCCCTACTAACTTTTTTGTACATATCTCGAAAACTACTACAGCTATGTCAACCAAACTGTATAGAGTCGTTTCTTTTAGGCATTTCCATATACAGTTCAAAAATGGAAGAAGTCGGAAAATAACCACGCCCACCTCCCATACAAAGGTTATGTTGAAAATCAACAAACACTAACAAAAACGTCAGAAACACTAAATTTTACGGAAGAAATATCAGAAGGAAGCTGCACCCAGGCTTTTTTTTTAGTTTAAAATGGGCGTGGCGTCGCCCACTTATGGACCAAAAACCATATCTCAGGAAGTACTCAACCGATTTCAATGAAATTCGGTATATAATATTTTCTTAACACCCTGATGACATGTTCCAAATATGGGTGAAATCGGTTCACAACCACGCCTGAAATCTCGATTATCACTTTATCATGCGAGAGTATAAAATGTTCGGTGACACTCGAACTTAGGCCTTCTTTACTTGTTTCACATGGGGTTGTGTACACAGATAAAATTCTTTCCGCCGAATTTATTAACTCTAACAATGTTTCTTTCTCAATTCCAGGACTATGTGACAGAGCTGAATGGCATCGGCCTATGTGTGGTCAACCTAATGGACGATATGCACGAATATATGCGTGGGCTCTTTTTACTAATGTGAGTAGTGATAAATTAGAAACTATTGCATTTAAAAAATGAAATTTATGGACAAATGAAAGCTTTCGGATAGCCTTTTCTTAATATTTTTTTGAATAACAAAAAAATGTATGCACGTCTACCCAGTCAAAGTGCCCGGTCTGCAATATATAATGATAAATCGGAAGTATAAACTCATCTTAAATAATCCTGCAAGATAGAGTAGAGAAAAATATCTTTTGATATTAAATCTGTGTTTATGCCTTCATAAATCCTTACATCGCGCATAGCCATAAATCAAAACAAAATTTGTTCCGCCTGTTTATTAAGCTTAAGCGCAAACTTTGAACCAATAAAAAAATTTGTCAATATACAATATTATTGCTTAAAATGCAAATTGCGCGCACCATAATCCCTAAAACAGTTATTCTTACTTAACGCAATAACAACAATTCGTCGTACTGTATACAAAGTAAAGGCAGAAGCAGCGCTTGCCAGCTCAACGCTTGGCTTCCCTCAGCTTTTGGCCGTCTATCAAAGTGGTCTTAGCTTTTTAAATGGCCGCATTCATTGCTGATCGCTTTATGTGCATTTAGGCAAAGATTTATATTTGGATTTCGACATGAAAACGAAATGGTCCTATGATTTGTGGCGCCAGCAAGCCACTCAAGGTCAGTATAAAACGTAAAGTGCGTGCTTTTAAGCGCCATTCGCTTTTTACCACAATAATGCTTCCTTTTCGAAGACGCACCATTGTTTGCTTTATACTTCTTCCTTTATTTTCTTTTGCTTGCTTTTCCTGTTTCGTTAATTTATCGCAATTTGCAGGTACTGTGCGCCCTCCGTTCTGCTGGCTTATCTTTACATAAGGACTTCACAGGAGCTGCGTCCACCTGATGGTCCATTTGCCGTTATGATGTTCGAGCATCGCGCTGATATGCGAAATCGCCAACGGTATGTACTGACTGATAAGAAATACGAGTAATTGTACTAAAATGTCTATGTATACTATTTTTAAGAGAGTGACAAAATTTGGTCATCGCAAACAAAATGTCCACTTAGATATTACTAAATTGACCTAACAACTCAGCTGTAAAAAATGTACTGCATTTTGTTGTCTGTAGTTGATTCAAAATTTTTAATCTTATAACCAAAACAGACAAATTAATAACAATAAGATAATTTTCGTTATCTCTAGACAAACTATTTCTGTACAGAACCACTGCCTACAATGCGAGGTTATCCGCTATTCAATCTGCTTTATAAAAAATGAAAAAAATTATTTCTTTGAACTTAATTTTTAAAGTTTTATAGTTCTACAAGTTCTCTATTTTTATTTTGAAATGTAAAAGCCTTTTGAAATATGATTCGAGAATCTTCAGCAAATCGACGATTCTCGAAAACATAGTCCTGGCGAGGGTTAGAAAATTCCCTTCTAAATATATCGTTACCAACAAAGTGAAGTCGACACTTCATCTCAATTTATCAGAACCTAGAGGGTCATGTACTGGATATACCCTAGGGTTACAAAATGCTTGCAAAATTAACTTACATCATTTGCACTCTATTTCTGAAGCGTCATATAAATAAATAAATCTTCCACGAAACCTTTCCCTCTAACATTCCTAAGACCTGTCTCTTATACACATCTAGATGTGTATAAGAGACAGGGATATACCCTAGGGTTACAAAATGCTTGCAAAATTAACTTACATCATTTGCACTCTATTTCTGAAGCGTCATATAAATAAATAAATCTTCCACGAAACCTTTCCCTCTAACATTCCTAAGACTGAATTATCAATTGTTGTCATCTTCCATGTCTCTGCTCCATATAGCATGACGGGGATGATGAGTGCTTTGTAGAGTTTGGCCTATATTCGTCGAGAGAGAACTTTACTTCTCAATTGTCTACTCAGTCCGACGTAGCACCTGTTGGCAAGAGTCGCTGTTGGTGTTAATGTTGGTTCCAAGATAGACTGCGACTATCGTAGTAATGATTGTCAATAATGATGTGGGAGCCAAGTTGCGATTGCAACGACTGTTTGTTGGATGACAGGAGTTATTTCGTCTTGTCCTCTTTTACAAAAAGAGATCCTTCCCGATCCTGACGGAGCTTTTGGTGTTGCTCAACGTCAGCTTACACATCTTTATTAGCTTTGCGGGGATACCAAATTCAGACTTAGCGTCCTAGTCTCAGTTCCTTTTTGTGCTGGCGGCTTTAGAATCGACGAAAAGTATGGTATGTCGATCTTTCTTTCACCGGGTCGATTGTAGATGAACGAGGTCAAAAGCTACACTGATAAGGTCGGTGCCGATGGCCTTTAGTCTTTGACACAGTACGGTCTATAGAACCTTGTATGAGATGTTGAGGAGGCTTATCCAACAGTAGTTAAGGCGCATGGTGAGGTCTCTCTTTTTTATGGATTGGGCAGAGCATACTGGGCATCGGTTACTAGATCACTTCTGGGGTTCTACCAGAGTATGCTTCCAACATTGTATCTTTCTTTTCAGATTAAAATGGGAGGTCTTTCATTCAAGGCTGATTTCTTTTTTTTTCATTGGGGATGTTGTTTACGTGGCGGGAAACAACAAAAGCACGCAACCCTAGGGAAGGATGTTTCGAATTCTCACTTTAGTTCGCCTTCAAACGCATGTTTTTTGGCCACTCAGAGTATACTTGGTCTAAGACTAGAAGTCTGCTTGCTAATTGAGCGAGAAGTCTTTTCAACCATTTTAATAGTTATGAATATACATTCAGATTTATTGTTGATATCGATGTTGATTTGTGTGGGTGTAGCTTGAATCTGGATATGAAAATCCAACAACCAACTACCTTTAGTAGAAAGGGCCCTTTAATGGGTTTTCTTCCACCCTTGTATGGCATAATTGCTTATGAGCTGTCATGATTATGTCTACTTGTCATGGAAATACTGAAAACTATTGTAATTATCGCTCTATTCGATTTGTTGAGAGACGTGAGCGCTGGTATCTGTAGTTTTCGAAATACATATACGAAATGTATTATATAATATTTCTATCTAATGATAAAATCCTCTAGATTATCTATAACGCATTCCGTTACTAATGGCTATGGAATATTAAGAGTATTGTGGAAAAAGTAACCCCCTTACCGAAGCTATGTAAGAAGCGCTTGTGTTCACTCTTATCTTCATCTCTAACTCTGAACTCAAGATCGGTTTTAAGATTTATGTAAGTCTCATTCTGTATAAGATTTTGTCGAAACATTTTCCCCAAGGTGTGTTGATTAATGGGCACACCAACGACAAACTTTGAATCATTAGATTCGTTCACTGAACAGCGACACCTATTAGCGACAGTCTATAATAACTTATAAGCTCCACGTTCATTAAAAACTCTCATTTGCGCCAACTTCCTGCAAAATAAATCACATTTGAGTGAGTGTGACAAAAAGTAACTCACTTCCCTATAAAAATATATAAAAGTCATATCTATGACAAGTCGTTATAATGGTAGATAGTGCACCACAGCGTTAGGCAAACTGAGATAATCCGAGCAAAGCCAAACGCTCATGGCTCGTGTGCGCTTTACTATCTTATTCCGTAGACGCTTGTTTGCGCTGTTCTCTTCACTTCACGCGTTACAAATGCAGTAATAAAAGGGAGTGAATTGCGTACTTACGTTTACAGTTGTTTGTAATTGTTATTTTGTTGCTATTTCAAGTGGCTTGAATGAATGAGAGAGCTCCAAAAATAGCAAAAGTAATTGTGTAATGAATGCAGAAGTGTGGAAGTAATCTTCTTACGGTAAAAAGCCAATGAAGAAATGCAATTGATGCAATGAAAGAGTAATGTCAGTTGGCGCTTTATGGCTGCGAATAAAGGTGAATAGCACAATTGAGTATAAATAGCAGTTTTTGAGAATAGACCTATGCGGAGGTGGATTACGACATCATAACCATGCTTGCCTTCTGCGGATTATGTGGTTTTCAGCGAAAAAAATTTCTTTCAGCGAAAAGTTATTTCTATTTTAAAAGTGCTCTTGGAATTTGTGTTAAAAAGTCTTCTTTTAGGAGAGAATGACAGAATTTAATTAGAAAAAATCATAGTCATGGGTTATGAATTGGGTTGTTAAGAGCATTTATACGTAGTGAAGAATGCGAACTGTGTTCAATAAATTGTTGAAGGTCTGATACTTTGAACTGTATTGCTGAAACCTTTAAATTTCAGCAGTTTTTTGAGAAAAAAATACAGCTTTTGACTAAAAAAGTTATATAGTGATTACGACAGAGTGTTATCTCTTGTAAGAGCTTCTCTCGACGGTTATAAAAATATGAAATAATAGCGCCCTTTATTTGTTAAAATGATTTATAGAATAGTACTGGATGATTTAGCGAGGTTTTAAGCTACGAATTACTGCTAGTGTTATTCCGTTGCGAAATTCGTACGAAAAATGTAGGTCGGATTGATCAAACTATTTACAACTCTCCTGTAATATTGTAGCCCAGGAGCTAGAGTTTTAATCCCCATATCAAGTGTTTCTTGTATGAGCCGAAAGATGTTCTCTTACGGGCGTGTGTCGTCACCAGGCAGTGACGTTAGTACTACCAACATGTTCCTCAAGTCTCTGCTATCGAGTGCCAATAAGAACTTTGTGTACTTAGAGGTTAATTTTGATAAGTCAGTTTATATGTTCGATCTAGAAGGATTCGGTAAATCAGCAGCTTCTTGGGAGAAAATAACATGTATGAAAATTCAGACTACGGAAGTCACCTCGTTGCTCATTTATAGGTTATCCGATGCTTTCTCCGGGGAATTACAAACTTCTTGTCAACCATAATACTCCCTGTTTAGGGTATAAAAAAAAAAAGATAACTCACCTTTCCGATTTTTATAACTATTTATTTAATTCTTGGAAGTGTGTTGTAAGCAATTATTAGATTAATATTGTAATGATGAAAAATAAAAAGCAATTCATTAAGTACTCATACATCACTAAAAAAAAAATTCCAAAAATACCCAAAGGAAGCATTATAAAAAAGGAAAAGTTTAAAATGTGTCGCAGGTGCTAAAATTAATGAATTATCCACGAAGTGCTTCCATATTTCCAAAATTTTAATTAACGCTTTACGAATTACGTTTTGCAAGTGATAATCTTTCCAATCCACTGACTTAACTTCAGCACCTGCGAAAAGCCCATACAAATATATTACAGTTTCTCAAACTTTTCCCCATTAATGCCAACACTCAGGGCAGCATATGTGCCGAGCTTCGATCCAAGACATTCTACACCTCAACTAATCATCATTCATTATGCTAAGCAAGACAACAACAACTAATGACATTATAAATATTTTACGCACCATTGGATATCATCAGATCCCCCACACAAACTTGCCTGTCGACTCACTTAGAAAACGCAACGCTAAATTAACAGGCGACTTCACTGTTGCGTAACCAATTGCGTAACCAAAAGCCTCAAAGTGCTGCTGCTAGACACGGCATACATATATATGTTTGTAACTGTACCTGAAGTGTGTTGTTGTTGCTTATGCACAGACCAGCAACTAAATTTAATATCATTATTAGGGTTCGGATGTTATGTGCGTAGCTAGGGACACAAAGCCTGCAACATACACAGACATCTTTAGGGAACCACACTTAGACACTTGCTATCTAACTAAGCAACTCATCTTCTACTTACCTCTCATTCGCAGCAACTCATCAGCCTCTTCGGTGGGCTGCAGCGTCGGCGCTACCAACACTTCCACCTCGGGCATCGGCTCAGCGCTCACCACACACACGAATGGCGGTGCCAGTGCCGGTAGTGGCATGGGTATGGGTCACAACACATCATCTGCGCTTTCGACAACCGGGTCCGCCACAACGAAGACACGCTCGTATGACTTGTACAGCGCCGAGTTGGATGTTTATCGGGAGAAACGTAAACAACGCAACTTCGGCAGCATGGCCGCTGCTCAGATACTTTGTCTGTGTCCGCTAATGATTCTACGCTTCGCACGCCTTTCCATGGAGGAGACCTATGAGAATCAGAAGCATTTCGACTTCACCTATCTGATGTTTGTGTGGATCGCTTTTCTGCCCACCGTCATCTTTCCCTGTATTTATGCCTCGCAGATACTACCCAGGTAAGCATGGTCGTACGGTAAGACTTAACAGCAATGTGTGGGCTTATAAAATTTATGAGCTCACATGACAAGCTTACTACATCTACTTAGTGAAATTAATTAGTTAAATAGCTGCTTGGATGGAGAGACCAAAGGCTTTGATTTGATTGCAGACTATTCAACTTTATGTTATGTGTGTTACTCAACTTTGCTTGTTTCGTAGGTGTGTGAGAAGATTTTAAACCCACTTCGTCTTTATTTATGGCAGCACTCCTGATAATTTGAAACTATTTATTTATTTCTGAGAATGTAGGTCATAAATAAAGTTTACAGTTCTTTGCTGCATGTTTTCTTAGAGATCTTTAGTAGAGGAGCAGAGAGTTTAGGAGTGGCATATCAGTTTATTCTAACACCTGAGAAACGTACTTGCAAGTACTTTGAGGATATATTATTTTCTGAGCGATGCTTTTATTTAGGACAATCGAAGATTTGGTTATGCCTACACAGTGTGAAGAAGTTTTATTTATACTTTACAGACGTAGATACCGCTCACTTTTCATGAGAGGTGTTCTTTCCGCAGCGGTTTCCAAACACAGCGCACAACGCTGGGTAGGCGATGTTTCACCTTCTCACTTTAGCTCGCCTTCAAACGGATGTTTTGTGGCTATCCAGAGGATAGTAGGTCTAAGACCGGAAGTCGTGGGTTGGCTGAGCCATATGTAAAAGAATGGTTTCTAGCCACTTCCGAGTGCATGGTGTTTCTGATTGTTTCAAGACTGAGGAATTTATTTTTTCTATTTAACTAGATATTTTCAGAGGAAGGGTCTTATGTCTTTAAATATAAAGCCTTTCCAACGATCCAACTGTATTTCGTTGACTTTTATTTACCCTCTCCAGACTGTATGAATACACCTAACAACAGCTTTTTGTAAATGACTCAGCTTTTTTCGAATAATCGAGATACTGACTCTAAGGCCCGTGTTGACACTTTTTTGCACTTGCTTAGTCTATTTTATTCTCTTTAATTTGTAGTATTTTCGTAAAATCCTAATTTCTGACGCCCAATAATTCAAAAAGTAGAGCTTTGGTGGATTATAAGAGCCCTATTGGATTTGTTGCAGACTTAGGCTTTGCAGGCTTTTAAAGTATGATCCAGTTAGAGTTACTTTTTACAAAAGCCTTCTTTGGCAGATCCATTACTGGGTAGGTGGGTATGTAAACAAACTTCGCTTCTGGAACGAAGAGCAATCTAAAGAGATTGGGAATTAACGGTCCCTATTTCCTTTGAAGCCTATGAAAACGTAACCGTCATTGGTGATCGTTGTCATACCATGATAACCGACCATTTGATGCCTGAAATTGAAGTTTATGATTTCGGCGACATTTGGTTTCAACAAGATAGCCCTACTTCCTACATATCGCACCAGTCAATGGATTTAATAAGTGAACATTTCGGTGAGCAGATAATTTAATGTTTTGGGCGGGCCGATTAGCGATATCACACCGTAAGTAAAAAAAAAAAAACTTGTCAACCTTGAAATGGATCACCTTTTATACATACATATGAATATCCTAATCAAGCTATTAGGAATTCTATATTTAGATATTTTCTTCATAAATTTAAAATTACCTCATGGGAAAAATACTTTCAAACCAAAAATTTCCCAAACGGTAATTACAACTTATTTTTATATTGGTATTACCCCCGTGAAATTCGTACTTAAATTCCATATACATTCTCAATTTTTAAACATTCTCTCTCTCTCTCTCTTGTTCAATCCTTATGTACACAATGCCACCGTTATAATCACTCATTCTGTTTGTCTTTCCATTTCTACTGGCTTTAAGTGCAAAAACACCGTTATTGTCGATATTGTTGTGAGCGTTTGCTTTGTTTAAGAAACAATCGCTATAAGAAAGCGCGCAAAATCAACAATGAAATTCGACTCAGTGACTCGACTGAGACAATATTGCCATAAAAAATATCAACTGAATGGAAGGCAATAGAAGAGAGCGAAAGCGAAGCATGAATAAAAGGCAAACAACTTTTTCAACCTTTAATGCCACTTTAGCTAATTTAATTATGTGTACATATGTATATAGAGTACATAAGAGAATATGACTAAGTTGTAAGCAAATTTGTAGTACGGATATGGGTTTGCTATTTGCGATGCTGGAGATTATTATATTTAAATCCGGGAAGTGGCTATCTAAAACTTTGGGACTCCGAATATTATCAAAGCTGGCTGGCCAACGTAGCCGCTGTCTCGTAATTCCCTAAACTGTGTCAATATCGTCGTATTTATACGAAAACCTCATCGTTCCATCGACTCCGATATTCGCCGTTGTCAACACGCCAAGTACCGTAAGTCTTACGCAGAATTTTTCTTTCGAAAACTCGTTACGTCGACTCATTAGAAGTTGTCATTGTCCATGCCTTTGCCATCTCTATAGCAAGACGGGGATGATGAGTGACTTGCAGAGTTTGGTTTTTGTTTGTTGAGAGAGGACTTAGCTTCTCAATTGCCTACTCAGTCCGTAGTAGCACTCGTTGGCATGAGTTATTCTGTGTTGGATCGCGAGTCTGACGTTGTTGTTAATACTGGTTCCAGGATAGACGAAATTGTCTACGAGTTCGAAGTTATGACTGTCAACAGAAATGAGGGGCGATTAGATATTAGTGGTGTGATCTTCACTAGTCAGAATACCGAACAGTTAGAGTAATTTGCGCGTGAGTTGTTTAAGCGGCGAAGACGGTTCACTGGGAATTAGAGTTAGATTTTGTATGAGTGGTGTGATGATGGGTCCAACCCTGGACTAGGCATTAATCAACGCTTTTGAGTGCCGTGGAGTAAGTCTATCGTCAGCAGGTATCCACGTTGAACACACCGGACGTTGACAACAGTGACGTGGGAGCCAAGTCGCAAATGGTATGACCGTTTGTTTGCTGACAAGATATGTTTCGTCTTGCGCTCGCTCATTACCAGACTCATTTGCTTCGCTTCCTTGTCCAACTTGTCCAACTTGGATAACGCAGAACTAACTCCGCGGTTGATATGGTCAGTGATATCGAAGTCATTGTCGTACACCAGCAGTTGTACCCTTTCGCAAAAGATTGCAGCCTTTCGATTCAGATCCATTCACTTACAATTAAAGTCTGTTTCGAAACAACGTATACTCAAGATGACTCGACTAAAGCGCAATACGTTGGATTGACTTAGATTAAATTTTGATTATTAAGACAAAGGAACAGCGTATAGTGTTTCTCGCTCTCTCTCTCTCTCTCTCTCTAAAACTGCAGGGAAGGTTTTTTTTATGGCTTTTTAGTCCAAGAGTTTATAAAGTTTGGAAAAATGGTAGCAAAAATGAAGCTTTGTACATTTCGAATTATCTTTTTGGCCAGAACATACGCAGAATATAAGGTGGCTTCCTAGTTCCACGTTCTACTCTTCCGCATATACTCAATATTGTTTGGCTCCCTTGTTATATGTGTCAGTAGTTCCATTTGTTTGCGTTCACTTTCAATTAATCTTGCGTAATCTCAGCCAGAACGTTTATTTCGCTCGCAGCGTGCTCATTTTGCATATCCGTCGTTAAAACAAGGACATTGAATTAGTAATTACGACCTGCTTGACTGAAGTCACACAATCCGGCAGCAGCCATGAGGATTTCCACTGATCCAAGTTGAATGTTTATTTTAATTAAATCCCGTTTTTTTGCGCTCGTTGTGTTTCGCTAGAAAAGGCAACATTGTAGCGCCATATCGGTACATACATATACACTGTATTTATTCACAACTCTTTGTTTTTTCTGCTTTCTTCTTCTCCCGCACATCGTCGATGAACAGAGATAAGCAAGAGCGCATACGTGGCTATTTTCGTCTTTCCACGAAACGTTTCCATAAATCGCGCAGTTGTGGCGGCAGCGGCAGCGGCCAAACGCCCAGCTCCCGAGAGGATTCCATTGAAAAGGACGACAACACAAACGCCACGCAAGCCACATCGATAGTCGTGAACGGCGAGGAGTTTCTGAACGGGGGCGGCAGCATTACCGGTACCGCGCTGGTGACACGTCACGAACTTAATCGGGCTGCCAAGTTTCAACAACAGCAGCAACAGCATCACAACAATTGCCGACAGGCTGGCAAGGACAGTGCAAACGGCGGTGCGGCGGTAGGTCAGCATGCTTACGGCAGCAAGTCGACACCGCTGGCGAAGGATGTGCGTGTGAAGAAGAATGATGTGAAGATTAAGATAATATCGGATGGCGGCAAAGGCAAGAAGTCAACGTTAGCAGGCATTGGCGGTGCCGGGCAATTGCAGGCACAGCATGCAGCGAAGAGCGGCAGTCGACGCGAGAGTGTTGCCGGTGGCGGCGGTGGCGGTGGTAGTATTGGTGAGCGTAAATTGACGCTGGGCTCGTTGGATAACTCCTGCTCGAATATGACCTCGTCGACCTACTGCAATGGCGGTGGCAGCTTGTTGGAGGATGATGGTGGCGCAAGCAATTTCGGTGATGGTGAAGACTCCTCAATAGTGAGTGGCATGATTGTATCGAGCGGCGGACAAAATGGCATCAACTATATGCCGCACAAGAAGTGGAGCCTCAGTGGTCAACCATTGTTACGCAACAAGGATTTATCGTTTAGCGATTGCAGTAGTTTCTCTCATATGGAGACGGCCAGCACGTTGGAGCGCGACATGGAGATAATCGATATGTTGGAGCGTGAACGTAGCATGGACATACAGGAAATGATAGAGCGTGAGAAGCACGGTGAGACGGTGCGCATGACGGTGGGTGAACGTCGCAAGCTGCCCGATATTGAGAAGATTTATCAGCGTTCGCCAAAAGCGAAACTCGATCCGTACAATTATGATGTGTCGTCACAGGCGACGCCGACACCGTCAACAGCAACCGCAAAGGATAGCATACCGAACTCTTTGCTCTGCAGTGATCCCTTGCAGTCAAGCGGTGGCATTAGTAGTAGTGGTAGCAGCACAAATGATGGCGGTTATAGCGTTGCGTCGACGTTTACCGGCGATGATGGTATGGCAGCGCATCGCCTGTCACGCAACGATGACGGTGAGAGTGGCATCGATGTCGACGAAGAAGTGCCGTCCGATTTCTTCGACAAGTACACGCCGGGCGCTGCCAATTCGGTGCCATATGCCAGCAGCGGCGGCGGCCCGGCAGTCAACACACCCACTTCCGCCTACCAGTATCAGTACTCGCGTCGTCTGAGCCGCAAATCGTCGCATCACAGTCAAGGCTCCAATTCACATCGCACTTCGAAGCGAGATAGCTTCAACTCCTTGAATGGCAGCGATCTCATTGCGGGCGCATTTGGTGAGCTCGATCCAACGCAACCACTGTCGAAGATGTCAGTGGTGGAGGGGCGTATGCGTCGCAGTAGTGGACGTACGTCCAGTTTCTCTTCCTCGGCACGCAGTTCAATGAAGTCACGCGACTACAATCATGGTTCATCGCATTCGGCGCATCCAGAGCTGGACTTCAGGGAGAATATATTTGCCGAACTCTGAAGAGGTTAGTGTGGTAAGACTCGAGTTTAGGTGCCACGATCCAAATTGTGCATGCTTTATTTGAACGAGGTGCCTAATTGGATTAAATTAAGCAACGAAGACATGTTTGAAGCGGAAAGCTAGCTTTTAATACGAACAAATACAGAAACCCTTAAATAGTGTGTATTGGTATGGAAGTCCTGACAGAGCAGTTTTATAACAGTAGTTGAGCGTAAGTTTTTATTAATGTAGACAGATCCTAGTATGTGGTAAGTAATGTTAAGTATAAATTTGAAATGTGATGAAAATAAGTACAGAATTGGCTTAAGCATTCTGAAACGAAGTATCATAGTGTTGTTGGAGTTACGTTGCGAATAAATTAGTTTGTTTGTTATGTGTGAATTTAGATAATAAGGGTTGCTAACTGAAGCAATATACGAAGCTTACCTAATCTTGACTGTCAGATGATTTGAAGGTTAGATCACCTTTGAAGGATTGGTTGGATTGGATTTGAAGGATCCTTTGAAGGAGATTTCTAGTCAACAGTGCCGAAGGATGTCGTTGGCAATGCTTTAGGTCTAGTATTTGGATTCAGAGGCTGACATATAGTATTCATGAGTTACGAGAATATCAATAAGGTAGTGCATTTGGCTCTAAAGAACTGTAATGGTTCGTGAAAGGAGGGGTAAAACTCGAAAGATTATTAGTATGATTATTTGTATGAGGCAACTGCATGCTTTGTTCCTGAAAAACACATGGGGTTTAAGTTAAATATGTGATTACTTAACATATGAGTCCTTTTGAAGAAAAGCACGGGCTTTTTACAGCAGAAATAGTTTGAGTGAAAAAGAGATACCACGTTAACTCAATTATGGAAGAATGAAGACGAGAGTAAAGCGTGAAAAAGTCACGTTCTATTGTATTTTATATACGAATTTGTTAGTATGATAGTTAATTATGGTGCGTTAAAAATAATAAATCTTATTACAATACTTTTTTAAAAACTTGTTTCAGGTTGAATTCGACTTTCTTTAAAAAATATAAACTATTTTAGTTAGAATGTTAGCATATGTATATTTGAAAGTAATTAAAAAATGCTGCCTTCGAATCGCCGAATCGAGAACTTAACGAATTAGTGAATCGAACAAACTGATATGCGTCTCATAAACTGGCACAATTTAATTGTTTTTGGCGGCTACCATTTATACCACTTTGATTTGGTATACGAAAGCTCTCTTCTTGACACGATAATTTATAACTGTTCTATATTTTTGGAGTAATGAATCGTCCAAACAACTGGTATGAATATAATGAACTGGCATAACCCGATACATTTTGAAAGCCTCCACTTATACCACTTTGATATATGGCAGTTTTCTTTCATAAAAACTACCGGCTAGATTTTAAACGTTTTTGTTTTGTAATTGTGTGGTGAGTCGAGCTTATAAGTAAATCCCAGAATTAGGAGGCATAAATCGTAGATACAGGCAAAATCAAGAATATTAGAAAGCCAACACTTTGGACAAGTAACCATAAGTTCTGTTGTATTGAATTCAGTCACTTCTGTTCCTTTCACTTGCCAGCTTTTTGGCAAGAAGGGGAAGAGCTCCCACTTTTGTATTGAACTGAAAGAGACAACTTTAGTGTTGTTTTCATTTTTTGGACTAGAGAGAGAGAGAGAGAGAGAGCAGAGCTCAGATTTAGCGAGCATTACTAACAAATACGACATGTCGCATAACCGGCAATTCGCACAAAAAGCTAGGCCCATGTTATATAAGCTCTTCTGGAATTTACAATCTCCAGACAAGTAGCCTGATTAAGGGACATAATATTTAAACCTTTTGAGGTTGTAACCACACATTTCCTAAGCAGTAGCTCGAGAGCGGAATCGCTCCATTCAGCCTTAGTGCTGAAGATAACCTTCAATGTCTTAGTGAAATGCATAGTTTTTATAAAGCTGTCCATTGGGAGAAGAGCCAGATAAGTCATTCATGGCCTGGGTAGAGATTACCTTATCTCTGCCAAACCCTTCTGCTGTCATTTGGAATAGTTTGGGGGTGGGCAACCTGGCCGATTACTATGTGAAGTGGTGCGAGATCCAGCATTACATCAAGTGACGTCGTCAGACATGTGCACATGGCGATTTGTTGCAGCTTCGATAGTTGAAGTCCTACTGAAATCGACGATGCCTTCCAGGCCCAATCCAACGCTCAATATGTGATAATCGCCACATATTTTTTGGCTTGCGGCTGCAGCATTTACCAGCTAGCCGATCGCACACCATAAGTGCTAGTTTTGACCATGGTCAAGTCAGCATGCTGCTTCCACCGCACACTGGAATTCAGCGTGAAAACAAGCTATCGTTTCACTTCTCACTTTTTTAAGTTGAGAGAGTTGAGTTCAGACTAAGCGAGCGGAAAAGTGGCGAATCGAAGGCGGCTAAAGTTAAAACATTTGAAAGTAATTTGAATTGAGTTGAATATTTTTTAAAATTAATTAAATTTTTTACTAAGAACAAAAATTTTTCTGCTCCTATGCGTGTGTCAATATTATTGAAGTGACTTTTTACCAATTTTTTCAAAGTGAATAGCTTGGAGGCGGCATTTTTTATGCGCATTTTTTTATCTAACTTTTAATTGTATGACAAACATAGCAAAACACGAAATGTGAAATCAAATTAAATTTACTAATTAGCTTAATTAAGCTGTTAATTAATAATAAATACAAATAATTGTTGCGTTTTATGTCATTGTTAATGTGAAAGCACAAAGTAAACAGAAACAACAACAAGTAATATTTATATATGTACAACTACAGTGTTTAGCGTTAAACCAACAAAACAAAAAAAAAAAAAAACAAAAAATTATAATAATAATAATGAATATTATTAAATTATTGTTTAACAAGCGTATTTATTGTATTTGTAAATGAAGATTTTGTATGTTGAAAGTAAAAAAAAAAATTAAATAAATTTTATAAACGGGTTTAGCATTTAAAACGAGCGCACACACAGGCATTCATGCATATGCAAGTGTGTGTGCTGGTAGTGGGCGGGGCGTTTTGTAAGAGCAGCAGCAAGCATGTGCCAAGCTTTTAGCAGCTACAATTTTCGATACTAAAATAAAAAAAGACATTAAATAAAATTTTTCTAAAGCGCTGCAAACAAACTAATTAAATTATCAACACTGTAAAAAAGTATATGTATGTTAATTTGTGTGAAACTATTTATACAAAATACATATGTATAAAGCTATTATAGAATATTTAAAAAATAAAACTTTAATGAAAACTATTAGTTATGAGCATATTTTATTTTTTTGTAAATTATATTGTAAAAATATTGTTGTGACTTAATATTCCACAAATATTTCTGAATGCATGTTAAATTTATATACAGTTACACATACAATTGCATAGAAACAATATATAAATATGGACACCAAGAAGAAGCAGAGAAACAAACTACGTAAACGTACACGGTTGCTTCAAAAACCTGCTTAAAATTAAATAACGGCAACTAACACAGATAAAAGTAATTCTTAAAATTTTGCAACTTGAAAGGAAAATTAATAAATTCCTATAAAATTTAATAACTTTTTTTTAATTATTATTTTTTCTTTTTTTTTTTCATATACAAAATCCTTTTTATTTAATTTCAATTTATGTATGGCCACACTCAAGTGAACGGCGCTGAGAGGACTTTCCTGACTTGCGCGATCGGCTACATATGCTCCATCCTCTAAATGCAAATAAATACTCAACTCAAAACTTGTATTTTTTTTATTTATTTATTTATTTATTTATTTAGTTAAGTCTATGAACATTAGTTCTTACAGACTAATGGAAAATTAGGRYGCTAAATAGATTTCTAAAATAATTCAATTAAAAGTACTTAAGTTATCTACTTAAACTAAGAAACAGAATTTAGGGTATTAATGAAGGATACCCTAGAGTGAGAAAAATTAAGAAGAACTTTTTCGGAAATCGAGTTAAACTATCGCATAGCACGCTTGAGAGGAGCACATTCTGCAAAGTTAGTACTTTCCTTTATAAAATAAAATGGGGAAATAGATCTGAGACAACGTTGGGGAGCATTGAAAGTAATTTTCCCTAGTAAATAGGGATAGTCAATACCTTCATTAATAACATTAAAAACAAATGAAAGGCAGTTAACAGACCGACGATTTTCCAGTAGTTTAAGATGTAAAAGCAATAAACGGGATGTATACGATGGTATTGGGTCAACAAACTTAAGGGAGCGGAGAGCAAATTTAAGAAAATCTAAGCTATTTTATTGTTGAAAATGTCAACGGCATTAAATATTGAAAAGGTCAAACGTACAAACAAAAAATTATAATATTTAATTATTCCTTCCTCCCAAGCGCGGGACAGTCAAGAAGGAAGTGTTGTGTTCTTTCCATACAGATTCTGCAGATGACGTAAGATTCCCATAATAGCCTGTTAAGGGCCCACAACTAAGGAGAGGCTAGCCCATGGAGAGCAAAGAGGTCAATAGATCTTTTGCGATAGATCTGGGGCCAAAAGGCTTTTGCGACAGCGCATGCATCGATTGTAGCCCAGCTCTGGCCAAGTTCCCGCGAAGCCCATCCCTAAAGGAGCTCACTGCCCCTCTCCTCAAACGGCTGCTTCCAACCCACAACTCCTTCGTTTGTATATGGGTAGAGAAGGAGCTGCTAGAGTTCGGTTTGACGACTCCATGATCTAAGTTATCCGGTGTGAAGTCAAAGTGTGTTAGTGTTCAAATTCTCTGAGTCTGATAGCAGCGTTCGCAGCCATATACCTCGCCACGATGTCTACGGGCACTAGATAGATGTCAATGAATTCCATGGTTGGAGTTCGTCACACATATAGCACTGATGAGCGCCATCCGTTGAATGCTCTCGAGTTTATTTGCAAGTATGGGCTTGACTATGGTGTCGTAGACACAGAGACCACTTGCACTATAAGGTAATCTATGCCGTACTCTTCGATACTCGGCTTCCATGATCGCTTACTTGTAAATGAAACCGTTACGACGCTGAGATATCTTTGCATAAACTCGTATACGGTATTCAGAAACCTTTCTTTGACCATAAGTGCTATATTTTTTGCATAGGCAACCATCCGTTTCTATCACTCTGTCGCACAGAATATTGAAAATGAAGTTTTTGAGGTTTGTTTCAACCTCAAAATCGTCCAGATCAGTTACGCCTGCTCCGACAGGACGTTATTGAAAGCTCCCTCAATATAAATGAAGATCTCAACATTATTTGATCGTACTGGCTTCCTCAAACCATAAGACGATAGTATACACTGACTTGCTTTTACAATAAGCATGTTGCGCTGCTGATAAATGGTTCCTCGGAATGAGCCTCCTTATGTACATTAGTCTCTTCAGGGTTTTAAGTAAGAAAGGAGTGAAGTTCATGACCGTAACCAGGAAGACCATGCCAGCAGTCGGAATGAACGTAACTCTGATTCATCTCCAGGCCCCAATTCGCATAGTTAGGTGCCAACCAGTTGCATGACACCTTAACAGCCTGCTGCACCTGCGCTGGTATGATTCACTGCATAGAGCCGACCTTCCATTTGCGTTCTTAAAATAACCAGAAGAGACGTGGTTTTGATAGTATAAGATAACTAAAACTAATTAAATAAAACAACAATTTTTACATTGTTCTTTGCATTCGAGTGATGTTGCTACCGCATTCAACTTTTTAAAAATATTAAACAGAAAATTGAAAAAAAAAAAGACCTTGAAAGCACCCAAATAAAGAGCAGTGATAAAGATTTATTTTATTTGAGAAGAGTTGCCATCTTCCTGCTTTTATTTTATTTTTTCAAATTCGTTACATTTTACAAATGATTAAAAAGTGCGG